GAGAGAAGAGAGAGAGAGAGAGAGAGAGAGAGAGAGAGAGAGATAGAGAGAGGAGAGACAGACAGACAGACAGACAGAGAGAGAGAGAGACATAAAGGTGCGCATGTACACACAATCAAAACGACACATAACTGATAGACATCGATACGTCACTGTGGCAGATATGATTTAAAACGGATTATAAATAACATTCGTGTCTTCATCAGTCATGGAAAAGTGCATAGTGTGCAGGGAATTCTAATGGCATCCATAATAGTGATGAATCGTTGTATTAGGACCAAAAAGCCTTCCATTCCATTACCAAGGATTCCACTACCTTCATATAATGGATTTGTTTTCGTTTCTCTGGGAAGGATAATGGATAAAGTTGGTTGAAAAGAGAAGAAGAAATGTGATTGAAGATTACATTATATGAGTTAAAATGTCTTTGTTATGTTGGATTAATGTAGGAAATTCTAATTAAAATCCAACACAAATGATTGAATGTACTTAGTTGTACTTATGAAAAAGTAAAAACTATTGGTAGAAATATCATCAGCATTGATATTTTCATCTAAATTATTATTTTACAAAATGATAATACTAATTGCAAAAAAACAAGCTTGTGGGGTTTTTTCTATAAACGCATCAACACGGTACAGTATTTTTCCATCCATAATAATAATCTAAAAAACATACAAAAAGAGGGAAAGAAAGAAAGAAAGAAAGAAAAAGACTGAAGTACATTATACCTCTTAATTCTTAAAACGTTAGGACTTTGTGCTCTCGGACGACGCGAAACAAAATATCACTAACATTTAGCATTTCGAACGTTTCCTGGACAACATGACACACTAATTTTTTTTTTTTTTTTTTTTCATATTTAGGATCTCATACTCGTATTATATTTATCATAAGAGCGATAATTCTTTTCGGAGAGGAAAACAGTACACTTTCATTTCCGTATCAGAGAATGCTTCAGATTTAGGCCAAATATTTTTGATGTTCCTCTACCTTTATCTTATCGGTTCTTTACCTTATTCATCTTATCATCTTGCTTTTGTGACGTCTTAACTGTTTATTCTACTAAACACCTTTGACTTCTTCTATATACCTTTAACTATAAAGAGAAAGAGAGAGAGAAAAAATCTTAGTTTGTTAGTTCTAGCAAGTTTGTTAGAAATAATCTTATAATTCAAGTCTTCAGTCATGGAGGATAAAAGTCTGGTGAAACAATTACATATAGCATGCAGGCCATCCAAAAAATTTTGAAAAGTTAGTTATATTCAGAGAGAGATAAATAAACCAATAAACAGATAGATACAGAAAGAGAGAGGATGAGGGTGAGTTAATGAAGAGCGAGAGAGAGTGAGTGAGTGATAGTGAAAGTAAATTGCTATTTTAATTCGCCTAAAACATATATTTCATCATAAATTCTCACACATTTCCCCTGAGTCATTTTCATGAAACCGCACAATTCATTCCTAGAACATTTTGCATACATGTGTATATGTATGTATGTATAAAAGCCACAATATGAATTTAGATATGCGAAGCGGTACAAAATAACTATTTTATATGTATATTTATAATCACCATTATTATTGATACTATTACTATCATTATTATTATTATTATTGATATTATTATTATTTTTATTATTATCATATATTTTGCATCTTCCCCAAAGGAACTCTTGTCGTCAAGTGTTTTTTTGTTTATAAAATGTACATCTTTTCTGTAAGTGTGTGAATACTTAATCCTACGAATATCGAAGCTAATAAAAAAAAAAAAAAAAAATCATGGTCGTCTACAAAAGATATTACCAAGAGGAGGTAGTGTAAAATTTGACAATATAAGGATTTATAATCTGTTGCGATCTACAGTCTTCGCCAAAGATCAAGTCACGCCCTTCCCGTCACAACG